AGAAGGGCTGCCGGTCCCAGCGTCTCCCGTGCCTGGACGCCTGTGCCCAGGGGAAGGGCCGTGAGCTCACTGGGCGGGTGTGAGGCTGCCGTGAGCAGGGGCCGACCTCCCTTACCTGGGGCCGCGGCGGGGGCACTGCCTTTGCCATTTGAAGCAGACATGCTGGGCAGTGTCAGGGAGGGGGCCAGGACGTCTGTGCCTGGCGTGGCCTCATCCTTCCTTCTGGCCACACCAGGATCCCGCGAGGCTGTGTGCACTCAGCAGTGGGATGTCCGGGGATCTGGCTTCGGGATGGGGTGCTGCTCGCTGGCCCCTCGCCCCGCCACACTGGGACGTGCAGCCTCAGTCCCTGCCCACGCCTGGGTCCGCAGCTTCGCCTCAGGGAGCCACAGAATGAACACCAGCTCAGCGGTGCGGCCGTCCACGCCTTGCTCATGAGACGTGACTGTGGTCCCTGGAGGGGAGAGCTCAGCTGTGTCCCGCAGGCTGCATAAGTGCCCTCGAGTCCACTGTCTTGCTGGTTCCCAGCTGCTCGGGAAGACATGGGTCCAGCACACAGTGTGCCACGCCACGGCAGGTGGCCGAGCCCTGGCCACGGTGTCCTTTCCTGGTGCCCTTTCTGGCCGCAGCCCCTCTTTTCTGGCGTCTGTAAGCCGGAGGTTGGGTGCCATCCCCTTTTTATGTCCCATGTGCCGTCACAGATGAAGTAGAAACCCTGACTCCCTGGAGACCGTGTCCTGGCGTCCCTCTGTCCGGGCATCCCCTGGGTTCACCGTGGCTCCAGTGCAGCTTCGGCTCAGAGCTGCCGAGGCCCAGGGTGGTGTCCCGATGCTTCATTTCACACCCCACTGCGGGCAGAGAAGCTCAGCCTAGGCTTTCCTCCCATGGTCGTCCCCTGCCTATGACCACAGGGACAGCAGGCCCCGTGTTCCCTGGTGACCACACACCCGGAGAGGAAGAGAACCAGGGAGTGGCTCACTCAGAGGGACAGGTGGGCCATGGGACATGGAGCTCATGTGCTGACAAAACCTTCCAGCCCAGGGACAGAGAGCCTGTGTGCACACGTGGGGCGCTGCCCGTCTGTCAGCACCACGCGGTGCCTGGCACAGCGAGCGGGCTGCCTCCCTCAGCTCCCTGCAGAGGGAAACCGCTGTGTTCCGTGCCGAGGCCTCCAGACTGGAGCTCCTGGATGGTGCCACGGCTGGTTGTGTCGGAGCAGGTGGCCTGGACACCTGATAGGTCAGTGTCCCCTCTGCTGTGGCCACATGTCCAGGCCAGATGGTTGCAGCTCCCTGGACACAAGTAGAGTGTCCCTGGCTCGCTGTTAGCGATTTGCAGCCCTGGCGTGTGGGACAAGCTCACCCTTGTTTTATCTGACCCTCGGTACATGGCGTATCAGTGCGGAGTGGAATGGGAGAAGGGACTGTGCGTGGCCATGCTTCACAGAGGCTGCTCGCCCCGCCCACCCACCGCTCTCCAGCAAGCGCACGTGCACCCTGGCAGCTCAGGAGAGGAAGGGTCAGAGGCAGCGTGACAGACTCGTGTTCTCATGAGCACGGGCGCACACTCTAGGAAGCATTAGCAAATGGAACTCAGCCACGTGGGAGAAAGAGCACACCACGTCACCCGTGCACGGGCTGGTTCAGTATTTGACGTCAGTTCTACACCGTGGCCAGGTGAGACTCGTCCTGAGTACTCAACAATCAGTTAACGTGACCCTTCACATCTGCGGATTAAAAAAGTCACTTGATCATGTTGGTAAATACAGAGAAGGCTTTTTTGACAAGTTCCAGTTCCCGTTCATGATTGAAAACGTGAAAAACTCAGCTAACTAGGAATAAGGGGAATCTCCTCAGCTTGACAAGGAAGCGCGACACAGTTGGCCCAGCCGGCCTCTGCACTGAGCCAGGTGGGAAAGACAGGTGACCAGGACAGGGACCCCTGGCGTCCACCCCGCCAATCGAGAGCCGGCTGCTGCTGCACCGGGGGTGGAGGGAGGTACTGGGTGGGGCTGACCGTGCCGCCTTCACGGGCTGCCAGTCTAGGGAGAGAGTCCCAGAGACCCCACTGATGACAGAGCTCTCAGGACTTAGGAAGACTTACAGCAGAGCTGCCGAGCACAAAACTCAGTCACTCTCCTCACCCCTTCGGGCTGCCCGGGTAGGTCTCACATTGAGGTATAAGCAAAATACGGGCAGGGCGTGTTTAAGGGAAGCCATAAAACTCAGATGAGACGATCGAGGAAGAGCCAAGGAAGTGGGAAGGCAGTCACGGTCTCGGGGGACGTGCCCAGTGCTGGGACCAGCAGGCGGTGTAATGCTACGTCGCTGGACTGCCACACGGCCGACTGCAATTCGAGTCCTGGACCCGGTGATTTAAAACTCAGACTGGGTGCATGTGCGTGCGTGCCCAAAACCCCGAGAGGAGAGTGGAGGACAAGGGATTGTGGCATGGCCATCCCCCTGAGGGATGATTTCTCGCTTTCTGTCTCTCTGGTAAGCACACACACCCTATAGCAAAAATCTCTCTCAAAAAAAAGCCACGGGTTTTTGAGTTCTTCCCAGTCCCATGCGTGCTGAAGATAGAGAGTGTGACTGGCCTCTTCCATCAGCCCCGAGTCAGTTCACAGTGTTCCTTGTGGACACCAGCACACCAATGCGGAGCCACATGGGTGGCAAAGGACCCCGAGAGGCCAGCACGGATCAGAACGAGGCTGGAGAACGGGCCCCGCCCAGGTTCAAGACATGCGCTGACCCACGGTAACCCCACGGCGAGCTGTGGGGAAGGAGGAGAAGGTACATCAGCGCATGGAAGGCCCAGAACGGACCACCCCGAGGAACTCACGCTCTGCACAGAGGGGCGGAGGCAGCCAGCGCGGGAGCCAGCCTTTCTGACATGCGATGTGGGGAACTTGGGCGTGCAGAAGAGATGAACCGAGACGTGGGTTTCGCACCTTACACAAAAGTTAACTGAGTGTGGGCCATCGGCCTATGTGTAAAGTGGATGCTGATGAAAGTGGAGAAGAAAGTCTGCATGAGGTTGGCTTTGCAGTGAGTTTTTGGGTACAACACCAACATCCGTGAAAGGGAAATGCCAAGTTGGACTTTATTAAAATTAAAAACTTCTTGGGACCATCAGATGGCATAATGGTTATGGACTAGACTTAACACGTAGTGGACCATGGTTCGAGTCCAGGACCTGGCAGCTTAAAACTCATGTGTGTGTGTGCGTGCCGAAAATCCCAAGAGGAGAATGGATGAGAAGGGATTGTTGTGTGGTCATCCCCCGGGGGGTGATTTCTCGCTTTCTCTCTCCCTCTCTCTCTTTGGCAAATACACATGCCCTATAGCAAAAATCTCTCTCTCTAAAAAAAGAAAATAATAATAATAATAATAATAATAATAATAATAATAATAATAATGAAAGCATCTGCTGTGCAAAACGTTACTCAGACGGGAACCGCTAGCGGGGAGGAGGCGTTGGCAGAGCGCGGCTGAGAGAGGACGTTGCCAAACCGCCCTGGGACACTGGTGTCTGCTGGGTAGGGAGAGCGTGCCGGAGGACCCAAGAGTTCCTTTTGGAAAACTCCAGAGAGCCCCTTGGAGCACCTCCGGTCCTACTGAGCAAGACCGCCCTGAGGGGGAACGGCGACACGGCACGGCCGGGATGGTTGGGCGCCCGCCCGGGCTTTCACTCCTCTGAGGAAGCCGGTAGGGAGATGGTCTCTCAAAAAAAAGCCACGGGTTTTTGAGTTCTTCCCAGTCCCATGCGTGCTGAAGATAGAGAGCGTGACTGGCCTCTTCCATCAGCCCCGAGTCAGTTCACAGTGTTCCTTGTGGACACCAGCACACCAATGCGGAGCCACGTGGGTGGCAAAGGACCCCGAGAGGCCAGCACGGATCAGAACGAGGCTGGAGAACGGGCCCCGCCCAGGTTCAAGACATGCGCTGACCCACGGTAACCCCACGGCGAGCTGTGGGGAAGGAGGAGAAGGTACATCAGCGCATGGAAGGCCCAGAACGGACCACCCCGAGGAACTCACGCTCTGCACAGAGGGGCGGAGGCAGCCAGCGCGGGAGCCAGCCTTTCTGACATGCGATGTGGGGAACTTGGGCGTGCAGAAGAGATGAACCGAGACGTGGGTTTCGCACCTTACACAAAAGTTAACTGAGTGTGGGCCATCGGCCTATGTGTAAAGTGGATGCTGATGAAAGTGGAGAAGAAAGTCTGCATGAGGTTGGCTTTGCAGTGAGTTTTTGGGTACAACACCAACATCCGTGAAAGGGAAATGCCAAGTTGGACTTTATTAAAATTAAAAACTTCTTGGGACCATCAGATGGCATAATGGTTATGGACTAGACTTAACACGTAGTGGACCATGGTTCGAGTCCAGGACCTGGCAGCTTAAAACTCATGTGTGTGTGTGCGTGCCGAAAATCCCAAGAGGAGAATGGATGAGAAGGGATTGTTGTGTGGTCATCCCCCGGGGGGTGATTTCTCGCTTTCTCTCTCCCTCTCTCTCTTTGGCAAATACACATGCCCTATAGCAAAAATCTCTCTCTCTAAAAAAAGAAAATAATAATAATAATAATAATAATAATAATAATAATAATAATAATGAAACCATCTGCTGTGCAAAACGTTACTCAGACGGGAACCGCTAGCGGGGAGGAGGCGTTGGCAGAGCGCGGCTGAGAGAGGACGTTGCCAAACCGCCCTGGGACACTGGTGTCTGCTGGGTAGGGAGAGCGTGCCGGAGGACCCAAGAGTTCCTTTTGGAAAACTCCAGAGAGCCCCTTGGAGCACCTCCGGTCCTACTGAGCAAGACCGCCCTGAGGGGGAACGGCGACACGGCACGGCCGGGATGGTTGGGCGCCCGCCCGGGCTTTCACTCCTCTGAGGAAGCCGGTAGGAAGATGGGGTCACCCTGTAAGTGCGAATTGAACAGGAAGCGGAAATGTCCGTTCACTCTAAGCAGTTGAAACTCGAGACCAAGGCTCTTAAAAAGGCAGTTACCTCCCGGGAGTGGTATGCGAAGACCCCGCTCAGGGCGGCGGCCCG